TCCCACTTTCAAAACAAACTCAACTACAACAGACCAATTGTTCCTTGACAAACTGATATCAGGTAAAGCAGGAGTTGAAAATTCTTCAAAGACGACAAACCGAGTGGATCCAGTGAAACACTTCTTCTCCTTTTCAAGTCTCTCCTTTTCTTTAACCACAATTTTCTCAGCAAGTGTCCTACATCTCTTATAAGTGGCATCAACACTTCTCTATCTGTGAATATAAATCCTCACGTTATATGTGTTCAATTCGATTAAGTAAAATGTCAAAATATAAAGTCGCTCTTGTTTCCACCCACTTTCGACCATTTCATACTTAACAATCTCATATGGAAATACTTCCTTCTTACGCAGAGCATTTAACCTCTTTCAAATTTTGATCTCCGTTGTTTCATTTCCTCTACTAAAATTTATTTCCATCTCATGACAGTTCATTCATTTATCTTATTTCAATACCATGTTGATAATCGACAGCCAATTGTTTCCATCACAATAACTGTCATGGATAAACGGAATAGACACTCTGTCTTAAGTCACCTACATTAAACCCCATTCCGTTCTCTTCTTTTGTTTTTGTTTATTCTCATTTCTCGTCATAGATATATTGAATGACAATTTCTCACAACCAATTAAAACCTTCACCATCCTTGCTACTTCCTTTCTCGACATAAAGATGAATATCATAGATATCTTCTTCCAAGAAATGAACCAATACCACGTCGATAATCGTTCTGCCCAAATGATAAGTCTAACAATACTCGTATTGATAGGGGAATATCCCTTTAGTTGTGTTTTTTTTAAGTTCATTCAATGCATCTGTGAATGACAAGGGGAATATCCCTTTAGTTGTGTTTTTTGAAAATTCATTCAATGCATCTGTGACTTACATTCCTGATGAAAGAGTTTTGTTGCTCTTGAGTTTATTTTTTCTTTCTCAGTTCTGAAGGATGTCAAGGCCTCGTAAGGCATACCTATGACTAAGTCTAACCATTTCCATCAACTAGTGTCAATCTCCTTCTGCAGTTTAGGATAATACTTCCCAACTGAAAGTTAGCAACCGTCATTTTCAAGAGAATCAAGACGTAATGAGGATAGCAAAGTCAATCTGAGACTTAAGACATTGTCAACTGTTCTCATGCCCAATCAAAGCTCAAAACCGATGTGGACCCAGTCTCCTTCCCGCCATGAAAAATTTTCATGTTCCTTTGCAACGACGTCATTTTTGTTGCACTTTTTTCTAATCACACCACGATCAGGAAGCCAGGACGTTGTCACACATAATTTTGTTTAATTTTTGCTTCCTGCTGTGTGCGTCTGACTTCGAGCGAGATCTTTCAATTGCGGTCTACGCCGGTCCCCAGTCTTATAAATCTTTAATTATAATTTATAACAACAAATCTGGGTAGCACCACGTACGCGTACGCACCGTACGTACCCGAAAACGCGCGTACGCGTATGTATTTATATATTTAATTATATATATTACATGGCATATATATAATAAATTATTAAAGGCAACCGGAAGGCAGAGGAGGAAGTCAACATTGGAAAGGGGAGGAAGAGGCAGATCGGGAGGAGGAGGAGGGAGAGGACGATGGGGAGGAGGAGGACGAAGAGGATGATGGGGAGGAGGAAGCGGAAGTCAGCGATGGGGACGAAGTTGGCAATGGGGAGGAGGAGGAAGACGACGAGGAGGAGGACGTTGCAAGGGAGGAGGAGGAAGTCGACACTTCCTCCTCCCTGTCATGACCTTCAATGCGAATTAAAAAAAAAAAAAAAAAAAAAAAACGTGGCAGGGGAAAAAATCGACGATGGGGAGGAGGAGGAGGAAAAGGACGACGGGGGGAAGGATGACGGAGATGGCAATGGGGAGGAGGAGAAAGATGACGATGCATCGTCCTCCTCCTCCCCGTCGCCCTTTTCGTCTTCGTTTTCCCCATTGTTTTTTTTCCTCCTCTTTCTCCTCCTCTTCCTCCCCATTGTCGTCACCATCCTCCTCCTCCTCCCCGTCATCATCTTTGTCTACCTCCTCCGCCCACTCCTCCCCAGGGCGATGGCGGCAGCTCCACGGCAACTCCACGGCGACAACACGGCAGATGGCGACGACCAGGGCGATGGCGACGCCTAGGATGACCAAGACGAACTGCAGCAGGGTGGAGGGGTGACACGGCTTGGGGGGTAGACCTTCCCGGCACGAATTCGAAAATCGTGCGGGAGCAACACTCTTCCCCCCGCCCCGCGTCACCCCTCCACACCACTTTGGGCCCTAGCGGGCTACCCCCCCCACCCCTAGGCCTACGGGGCTAAAACCGCCTCCCTAAGTGGTCCGCTACCACTATGTACGCGGGCCCTGAAAAGAGGTACACGCGTACGGGCATACACGTATGCGTGTATGCGGAGCACGCGTACATGTACGTACTGCTACCCAGCAGCAAGTAATAATATAAATAATAACAAAAAAAATAAATATGTCATACACGTATTAAGTCTGCCGATGGATGAGGGACGGTGATAACTCATAATAATCTAAGGAAATACAGATGAAAAAACATGACCAACACTCGTCAAGAGTCCTCCCTCACCCTCTCAAATCTTGTCCTCAATCTTTTATTTAACTGCGCGTATCTTGTGCCTTGAGCCATGTCTATGTACCTCCTAAGATTGTGGTCTAGTAATATAGAATCACCTAAAGCCCAATGTTCCCATAAGTCCATCCAAGACCAAAGATTTGAGAATCAAGCATAGCACTGAACTCCTCCCACATAATAGAGAAATATGACCTTCAAAAGATCCCTCGTATGAGATATTGGAAGTTTGATGGTTCAGTCACTCCCTCATAGTCAATCTTCCTGGTGAGAAATACCTTTGTAAGGTCAATCAACTCTCGCCAGTAAGAACCATCCATGAGATCAAAATGGATTGAAGGCATACAGTAGTCAGTGTATAACTTAGGACCAAAGCTATGGATCAACTTTGCCCCCTCTTGAAGCTCTTGTGCCTTCTCTTCAACATACCAAGCTGCTGTTACCCAAACTGAATCAAAAAGTGCTCATGAGTTTTTTTCCCCTTCTTCACATAGATCCTCAGATTTTGGACAGTTCCCTTTGGTGATGACCACGACGATTGACAAATTTCCTTACCTGAAACTAATTGCACTAACATACTGATGATGAAAAACATCTTCGAAGGCAATCGTTTTAAACCACCAGTACTTGGCCCAGCTATCGGCCCGTACATTTCCTAAAATCGTGGCTCGTTAACGGGCACTACTCGGAAGTACTGGTGGTTTAAGATTGGTAAAAACTGACCTTTCGACTGGAAACGACTGAGCTGTACTCATACGGGTGACACTCACTGTTGATCCTGTACAATCTCTCTCACTGGTTTGACAATCTCAAAAGATGCGGCTGTGCTGATGGTCTTATCATTGTAACTTTAACTCTATACTCAATTATGGTTTATCTCTTAATAATACTGAGTGTTTTCTTTCTCATCTGCCTCTCGAATGATGCAATGTACTCTTTCTCAGTGTCTTCCCACTTGTCGGTTATCTTTTATCGTGGCATCCATGCTACCGACAATACATTCTGCTTTCTCATTTCCCTTTTCCTCTCCAACCGAGAATTCAAACAACTCCTTACGCTACCGAGCAGAATTATTTGTTTTCAACTGTACCGACCAACTGACATTTTGTGACACAGCCGAGGCCACTCATGAAGTCCATGGAAATTGGCCGTCCATGACAGCCCTTTCATTTATCTTCCATCAAGCTTCATTTTCAAAGGAAGCCACACAGTTGTTTGAAGCAAAATTGACATCGAAGAATTGTTCAGGGCGCTCAAGGGTTCCCATCGTCAATCTATTCGTGGGAAGCAACAAGTGCTGGAAACAGACCCAGCATCCCATTCAAGATCACATTGAAAAAACGAGAAATTTATGAAGAAATCCTTCAAATACTGGGGCAAAAAGACAACTGTGTAATCTACACAAGAACACTGAAATTCTGTCCCCCCCAAAGCTTGGATCAAATAAGCATTCTGAACGAAAAAAACACCTGCCTTCGGGCCTTTCAGCAGCCCAACCCTACCTGCCTAGTCCTAATACCATTTTTCATCAAATGATATGCCGAATGAGGTTTTGCATGTAGTATCGAATGTACCCACATGCTCAGACGCAAGAGGCAAATAACGGGAGTTGAACCCATGAAGGAAAATCATTGCACCCCTCAACCCCTTTTGTCTTGCTTCAAGGTTGTTGTGTACCAAATTTGGTCTCATTTGGAGCATTGGAATTTCCGCCGATAAGACCATTTCCAAAAACGCTGAAAATTCTGAAAATTCGCTGAATCCAAGATGTCATTCAAGTGCACTTTGCCTTACTGTTTCACCCTGTTTTTATTTTATTTTTTCGTTTTTTTTCTAATGGTTTGTTAATATGCTGTGCACTCTATAGAATGATGCAATTTTTGGTTAAAAAGGGCTTCTGATTTTCTTATAAATAGCATTAAAAAAAACGCTGAAATTTTGGGTCTCCGTTGACCGCCTCTCCCTTTAAGACCCTTACCCCCCTACCCCGTCCCCTCCCCTCCCCCTGGGGACCCTCCAAAACAACATGAACCAAAAAAAGAATTAGACCGGATTTGGGTCCCTCTCGGAGGGTACAAAAATGAAACAAAAAAGGGGAGCAGGAGGGTCCAAGTAGCACTGGCCTGGCTGCCCGCGCAGCAGGAGGGTCCAAGTAGCACTGGCCTGACTGCCCGGCCGGGCCCCTGCGCAGGTCTGGTAGCCCAGGACTCCACGATGTCCAAAGGCATCGTGACAAGTACATGTACTGCTGCTGACTAATCTTCCACGGCCTCGAATGCTGTCATGGGGGCAAGTATGTGTACCGCTGCTGCTTTGAGACACGATGATCAAAACTAAGGCAAGTATGTGTACCGCTGCTGCTTTGAGACACGATGATCAAAACTAAGCGCACTCAAACTATCATGGGCACATAACGCAAATGGGTGGGCTTTGTTGATCACGCCTCGTCCATCATAAACGCACCGTTTCCCCATCAAATTTGCAAAACCTGGGAGCACCAACCAATTCAATCCAGATCCAGTAAACTACAGGTCAAAATAGCCTTGCTCCTCGGCATCATATAAGTATGAGAACTTAACACCGTGGAAGACAGTTATGTAGGAGTAACAACATTAAGTGAGAATGAAGTCACTGAAACAAACTATGACTAAATTTCAAACCGCCAAACAGAAAGATGGGAAGGAATGCAGACAGCAATCCCTCAATAGTCAAAATGGGAACACTCGAACTATCATGGGCACAACGCAAATGGGTGGGCTTTGTTGATCACCCCCCGTCCATCATAAACGCACCGTATAAAAGGTCATTTGATTTTAATTCACAATCAGATGCACCCACACCAATAGATGACAACATGATGACCGGTTGTGGGAGAAATGTACCAATAGCAACATATTTCTTCCCCATCAAATTTGCAAAACCTGGGAGCACCAACCAGTTCAATCCAGATCCAGTAAACTACAGGTCAAAATAGCCTTGCTCCTCTGCATCATATAAGTATGAGAACTTAACACCATGGAAGACAGTTATGTAGGAGTAACAACATTAGGTGAGAATGAAGTCACTGAAACAAACTATGACTGAATTACAAACCGCCAAACAGAAAAGATGGGAAGGAATGCAGACAACAATCTCTCAAAAGGGAACACCCTTATTCGTTGCATTCAACAGTATACAAACAACACTAACAATTCACTGTTCACCCACACGCTAGGAGTCTCCGGACAGAAATCCTGGCAACGCCAATACAAACTGGAAGGCATACGGGCTTGCACACAGCCGTGCAACACCACCTCGCCACCCTGAGCGCCCGCCCACATACACAGACCCCGCCCTGACATCACACAATGACACGCCCTTGCCAGAAGAGTATCTTTGCAGGGGACCCTGCTGGCCCCTGATGAACATCCCGTGCGCCCGGTCAAACAGCCTTATGTCCGTAAGTTCCCCACCATACAAGTGAGAGCCAAACTGTGTCCGGCTATTAGAGTTTACTCACAGAAGCCATGGCATGTGATATCCGTGAAAAAGCCAATAGCCTAGCCCAGCAAACAACACAACGCCCTGCCTCCCCTGCAGCACATAACAGATGTTGCGTCCACATTCTTCCCTTAGCCATCTCCCTGCACATCCATGTTCCTCCTCCTCAACCAGGCATTCCACCATTTGCCATATCTCACAACACCACAGAGCCCAAGACATTTGAAGACACAACACCTGCCTGCTCTACGGCCAGCAGACACACAGCATCTCTTAACTAAATCCCTAGCCGCATCGTAGAATCCAAACATACAACCACATTCACCTGTTGCAGACCATCGGTCTCCCTCACTCGTACCGTTGCAGACCATCGGTCTCCTCAATTGTACAACCAGATTCACCCATTGCAGACCACCCGTCTCCTCAATTGCACAGCCGTATTCATCTGTTGCAGACCACCCGTCTGGAGAGGAGCGCAACCTCTTCATGGATGAAAAACAACTCTGTCCATTGGCAGCTCTAACATCAAAAAGAGGACAACTCGACCAGACTGCAGCACTCACACTTCCCACTGTCCGGGTGGGGCACAACCACAATCACAAATGTTGTATGGCATACAGCCGCATTCATTTGTTGCAGATCATCCATCTCCCTTAATCATACAACCATATTCATCCATTGCGGACCATCCGTCTTGGGCAGAGTGCAACCTTTTCATGGACGAAAAAGAAGTCCCCATCCATCAGCAGCTCTTGAACCAGAGAGACGACAAGTCTGCCGGACCGAAGCATTCACATTTCACTCTGTCCTGGTGCAGCACAACCACAATTGCGAACATTGCATGCCTCCGGCTGGAAACAACACCATGCTCTACAAACCTTTCAAATGTCTAGTAGTGGAGGGAGGCTCTTTATTGAAGTTTGCTCTGCAGTTACAGATACCACCGTACATATCCTTTACAAACAAAAAACCTGGCTCAAGAACAACCAAAATGGGGGAAAATAAAAGGAACCCAACAACTCCGACTGAGCCTTTCACCAACGCCGTTCTTCACATGTGCAATCACGCAATGCACATATGCAAGGGTGTGCTACCCTTCTCATGCACGTCTTTTGTACAATTATTTTACTGTGAAGCAGCTGCTGATGCGTTTGGCCGAGCCTGAAGAAGGCAGTCTAGACAGTCACTCTTTTGTTGCTATGCCAATGATGCTTTCGAAAGCCTCCACATATATTAGCAACTCCATGTGACCTCTGAATAACGAAAAGAGGGTTCCGGTGGGAGGATGCACAAAACTACACAACTTGACAGTCTTCACACAATGTTTCTGCAGCGATCTCCGGGAAAAACCTGTGGCAGAGAGAAACTAAAATCTGCCCCGCAGCAGAGCTTCGGAATAATGAAGCAAATTTGCTATAGAAAGGGACCACCAACACATAATGCCTTCCGGGAAAAGGGACAAAAAAAAAATGATACCCATGGAACCCTCTCTAGGTCTCTCAAAGGACTTGAAGCGCTCTTCCTCTCTGAGAACTAAAAAGTAGTAAGACAATAGAAACTGAACAATTAAAGAAGGGCTTCCTTGCCAACGAATCACATCGACCAAAAACCGAAAAAAAACAAGGGTGTGTGTGTGTGTGTGTGTGTGTGTGTGTGTGTGTGAGAGAGAGAGAGAGAGAGAGAGAGAGAGAGAGAGAGAGAGAGAGAGAGAGAGAGAGGAAAATACATTCAGATATCACAACTCTCAAACGGGACTGCAATAGCAGTGCAAGAAGATTCTTGCCCAAACTCTTTCCCTCACTTTGAGTGTGCTGCTACATTCATCACTTTTTAATCCCTCGTTTAACTTTATTCGACGCAAAACAGGACTTCCCTTGGTAAGCCCAGTCCAAGCCAGTCCAGACTAAACAATAAATTTAATGATGAATCTGCACAGTCCCCCGTAATCAACAAGAACGAAGACTCTAAATCTTAATAAGTCACTTGGTCACCTTTTGTTTTCTCCACAAGGAACAAAACAAAACAAACGCCAGCCGGCCTTCGGACCTACACCAGCTCCAGCAAAACAACGACTACAGGGCGAAAAAGAAAGGCAATACTAAAACTCCACAACTAAACTTCTCCAGGCCTCCTTTGCCTTGTCCCCCCATTGCTAAACCGGACACAACCACGACTCCTTTCGCAGGTTTAGACTAAGTTTAATCTGACGCCACCAATCAGTGACCACCATGATACAAAGCGTCGTAGATCTTGTTGCCTGACGAAGTCTCCAATAGCGCTTCTTAAGCCAAGGAAGGAACGACTGAGCCCTTTTCATCATCACAAGAAGGCTTTAGACTCTTTCGAGTTATTCACCAACAATTCCCTGAAAGACAACCTCGCTTCCATAGATGCCAGCAATCAAGCAGCAGGACAAGAAGTGTCGGCTTGAATCCAATCAATCCAGTGGACAACACAAACCATGCACCAAAAAGTTCGCCTGAAAATGGTGAGAGGATCCTGCAAATGGCGCAGGATGGGCAAAACAGAAGAAGATTAGCATTTTCCTATTTTAGAAAAGATTGAGCATAATGCAGTACCAAAGGCAAAGACTCGAAAAGAACCTGACTTACTCACTCAAACACTCGAACAACTCTCCAAAACTTTCAACAAGAACCTGACTGACTCGCTCACTCAAACAACTCTCCCAAACACATCCTCCGGACACAAAAAGACAAATCATCATTAATTCTTGTGAAAATTGCTTACCAATCAAGTAATTCCAGACAGAACTTCATTTTGCCCTTGACAACCTCTTAAAAGACCTGCACCCACCCCACTCGCAGCCCACACCCAAAACTGCTCTTTGCTTTGTCCTTCTGCCTCCATCCATTTTGATTGCACAGATTTTCATCAAAGAGCAACAATGCCTTTTGCATTTCCTAGAGGGACCTCAGCTCCCAACCCGTGAGGCAGACGGTACGGCAATTGCAAAAAAAGGGAAACTTGTTAATAAAGTTCAAGACCACAACACCTGACTGCAGCATCTTACAGAAAAGTTCGGTGATTCTAATCTAGCAGAGACTATCTAGCAGAGACTGCCCTCTGCCAAACTGAGAGCAATCCCACAGTGCGGATCGTGCTTGAGAGCCAAAATGTCTATCACGACCACCGCAACTGTACCCTCCATACATCTGGTACATCGGTCGCGCTAACGAGAGCAGAAAACCCGCAGATCATCTTGACATCCTCCATATAAAGACAACGACATGAAGCAGCGCATCTGGGCCTCTGGTGACACCGATCGCCTCGATGCACTTTTCAAATATCTCTCTCTAGCACCCACCAAAAGGGCAATGCCTTTCAGGCTAAGGGTGGAAAACAACGGTGGTGTCCGAGGGCGATATGGCATTCAGGTCGATCACTAGCGTATTCATTTCAGTCCTCCTTCCCTTCTATATTTACTAATCCTCCTCCCCCTCCTATCTATCCATCTTTACTCGTTATATCAGAGTACCAACTTATCAACTCCCTTGCGCATTGCTCATAAAAAGCTGACATGGCTCAGAAATCCAGAAATATATAGTCTCATGTGTGGGTTCTGGATGCAATGATGTGACAGGGCAAGTTGTTAACAAACAAGATAGGAGTGGCCTGCTGGGACCAATGGAAAGACGGCCTTGGCGGGGGGGGACGATAATGACCGCTATCACTCTATGCCGCATTCTGGACACGTGTTGCCTTATCACTGCCAAAAGATAAATACACCACTTAGCCACAGATTTACACCACTTAGCCACAGATTTGCTGCACAGAGGCGCCTGTTGCCCCAACCATTCAAAATAATCGTTCGGAGCACAGAGCACAGGCACACTACTCACATCCCACTTTTTAGAACCGGTGAGGCACTGACAGTAAGGATGCAATGCCAGACCTCCCTCGAGAGACCTTCACAGGCTTTCTGAAACACTCCCTTGCCACAGAAAACTACTACACCTTGCTTTTCTAAAAATCCTCCACCTGCAGGTAAACCAAGGACGGATGGTAGAGCCTACCAATTGGAATTGGGCCTGCACTGCCCTGCAGCCTGAATCCTGAAACCCCCTGCCTATGGAAAAAAAAGAACAATAAGCCTGCTGTCGGGGCAAATACCCTGTCAACTTGTGACAAGGGTATTTACCGGGGGTTTTCAACGTCGGACATTGACCGACTCATTCGCTGGATTGAAGGACTTGAAGAGACTGACGTTGTCAAAATATTATTCAGACCTGACCTATGACTGAGAGACTAAAAGTTTTTGAGCTTTATTTTTGTCGAAGCCGCAGAAGAGCGCGGACATGGAAATGCTAAAGGTAAACCTATTATACCTAAGATAATGTCGCGAAGCTGCTAAGCCGCGCGACTCAGGGTCTATGTAGGCTAAAAAGAATGGTCACGCCAGGCGTGGGGCCGCGACGCGGAAGGAATATGGAGTTTTTTCCTGGGTCGCGGGGGTTGACCTCTAGCCAAGGGAGGCCAGCAGGCCGATGCCGAGGCCTACCCGCTGGGTGACCTCGGAGCTATGGATGGGCAGCCATTCATCGGAGTGCCACAGGCAGGCAGGGCCTGCAGGGCCACAGGCAGGCAGGGTCTGCAGGGCCGCAGGCAGGCAGGGCCTGCAAGGCCATAGGCAGGCAGGGCCTGCAAGACCACGGCAGGGGGAATAGAGAAGGGGTGAAGCTCTTCTTATAGAAGAGCTGCTCTTATCACTGTCATGATAGGAGCTAGCCTAATACGTTACAGCATATGACTCATACCCAACAGATACCAGGATCAAATCAGGTATGCCACATCCTACTGGGCCAGCTCCTTTTGGAGCTGGCTGCCAAGCATCTGGGCGCAGCCGATCTCGGCCGTGTGATCATGAGATCAAGCGGCTGAAGATCAGCCGCACGAGATCTGCCTGGCCCCTGCGCAAGGATGACACATAAATCGAGAAATGGCCCAATTTTATTTTATTTTATTTTATTTTTTTAATAAAAAAAAGAAAGTCCATGAGGACTTGAACTCAGGTCTGCATCACTCAGATGCGTGGCTGAAAAGCCACGCGACTAGTGATGCGACCGCTGGCATAAGCCAACGGAAAAAAAAAAAAAAAACTAAGTTCGAGAAGCGCCAGATGGTGCACTGTGAAGTGACAGGGAGTTAGACCTCCCAAAGAACAGTGCAAGCGCCCATTTTTTCGGGCAGCCGTTTTGATTTCTTTTCTTTCTTTTTTTTTTTTTTTTTTTTTAGATTTGTTGTTAGATTTGTTGTAGTTTTTTTTTTCTTTTTCTTCTTCTTCAGATACCCCCCCTTCTCGTTTTTACGAACAGCAGTTCGTCTTTGCGCCCATTCGTTTCAGAGAAACGAATTGCAAAGAGGGTACTTCCGTTGGTAAGGGGAGAGAAACTGAATGAATCTACCGCTAGATTTAGGACTAAACACTCAGAGAGAGAGAGAGAGAGAGAGAGAGAGAGAGAGAGAGAGAGAGAGGAATGAGTGCCTTACCTGGCGAGGAGCAACTCGATGGCAAGAAGGTAAGTCCCCAACCGTGCGGCTACCTTGCTCCTCTCCCTTTTTCTCTGAAGGCTGGTTCTGCACCCGTTTGTGTGAAAAACGGGTTGCCGAACGATTCCTGTTTGCACCCGGGTACGGGCGTGCAAGGCATGGTAAGAAGTCCCTGTTGAGCCTGCTTCTAGTTCGACTCTGCGAAATGACTAAGGGAGACAGCTCGTTTTGAAAAACGAGCTGCCCCTCACGGAGAAACAAAGGGTCTAGGCGGTTAGGGAAAAGGAAAAAGAAAGGGAAAAAAAAAGGAGGGGAAAAAAAAGTAACGGGTGCAGCCCCAGAACATTCTAGGGCGTGATGGGACTGCGCCTGTTCGTTTTAAACCACCAGTACCTCTACCAGCTAAAAAAAAAGTTGCGGCCGTTAACGACTTTAGGGGGTTCGGCAAAGGCTTGGCATCCAGATGGGGGAGGGAGCTAGTGGGCCCATGGGAACTCCTCTGAAGGACTGCACGATGTCCGGTAGGTACTCTATGTGGAAACGAATGTAAGGGCAATAACGTGCAGATCCTGGTTTCCGATTTCCTTTTTTTTTTTTTGTTTCCTTTTTTTTCGGAAGAAGATCCTTGGCTGCTTCTGCCCTTGCTCCCCGTCAGCCATGGGGAGCATTCACTACTGGCTGCTCTTTCCTGGCAGAGGGAGCTGCAACGTTGCAACTTTCGTGACTGAATCTGGCTTCCCTTCTGCACACTATGAACGAATGTGAGGGCAATAATGTGCAGATCCTGGTTTCCGATTTCCTTTTTTTTTTTGTTTCTTCTTTTTTCTGGAAGAAAATCCTTGGCTGCTTCTGCCCTCACTCCCCGTCAGCCACGGGGAGCATTCATTACTGGCTGCTCTTTCCTGGCAGAGGGAACTGTAACGTTGCAACTTTCGTGAATGAATCTGGCTGCCCTTCTGCACACTATGAACGAATGTGAGGGTAATAACGTGCAGATCCTGGTTTCCGATTTCCTTTTTTTTTTGTTTCTTTTTTTTTTTTTTTGGAAGAAGATCCTTCGCGGGTGAATTCAATGCCGTAGTGGAAACAAGAAAACGACGCGCCTGTCTACGTTCCTGCTGCTGGTACCTGCTAGCAGCAACACATGTCCCACATTTTTTCCCACTCCCCGCAGGCTTGGCAAAATTCGGCGCGCAGGGCATATTCAGGGTCGGGCCTCAACAACCGGTAGGTACTGGTGGCTTAAGCAGGCAACAGTGAAATGGCTGGGTACAGCCATGTCGGGGAGCATGTGGCCTACGGGGAAGGCCAAATGCTTCAGGGAATGAAAGACCCTGGTTCCCCTAGGGGAAAACCAAGGACACAGCTCCTCGCCATTGATTTAGATCAAGGGCCAGGAGCACTGACGAATTTTTGCTTGGCAGTGGGCAAAGCAGTTGCCCACATGCCTTCGGCTGGCTATAAAAGCCAGCTTCCCACCCAGCAGCCTCACACTTGTGGCAGTGTTGCTGGGGCATTCACTTGTGTGAATGCTGGCTGGCTGCTGCATGCTGCTGGTGAGGGGCGGTGCTGCCGGTGGAAGTGCTGCTGGGGAGGAGAGTGGAGGTCTGCAGAAAGATGGAGAGTGAGATAGGGCAGCCATAGCCAAGGGCTGGCGGCGCTATGCCCCACCCTCGTGCTGGTGCGGTGGCGGTAAGGCTGCGTCAGGTCCGAACAGTGCGGCAAGCGGCACCCGTTTCGGTGGGGTTGTGCTGCTGGACTGCCGCCGTGGCATCAAAACCTTCCTAAGGGAAGGTGCTATAGGATTTGCCGCGCGACGTTGAAGGTTTTTTAACGTGAGTGTGGGGTGGTGCTGCCAGACTGACGGCATGGCAGCATCAAGGTCTCTCTAACTTCAAGGGGAAGTGCTGTCAGTTTTTTTTTTGGCACGGTGGCAGCAGCAATTTGGTGGTGAGGTGCTACCGGATTGACGGCGTGGCGGCATCAAGGTCTCCCCAAGGGGAAGTGCTGTCCGTTTGGCGGCATGACAACGGCCACATTTTTTTTGTGAGGTCACGCTGCCAAGTTTTTGGCACGGCGGCGGCACTCCGGTGGGGAACTGCTGCTAATGTTTTTTTTGGCACATTAGTCGTAGTACCGGCTTTTGACGGTGCGGCGAGCAGCAATCCATTTTTGTGGTGCGCAGCGGTTATGGTGGATTCCAATGCGACCTATAGGCTGGGCTAGCACTGGTGCGCGTTTGGGTCTGTGCGGCAGCGGTGCATGGGCCGGCAACACGAAGAGATCGCAAAGTGAGTGCTCGCGCCGCAAATTATTGGAGTTGCAGTGCTCGCAGTTTGCGTCGGAAGGACATCTTTATTTTTTTGGGGCTCGCGGCACAGGCGGTTTGGACCAGGGCCAACTTTATTATTTTTTGCGAATGGTAGTGCAAGCGGTTTTGAGTTCTGAACCGCCTAGTATTGCAGTGATGGTGTGGGACTGCATTCAGACCATCTGGGACCATTTTGGGACTAGATGGGACTGGTTGTTGTGATCGGGACTGGCATGATGGCATGACTATTGCGAGCGGACGTGGTGAGAGGTGGCATGAACTTGCGGTTGGTTGGGAAGTATCCTTAGTGGTTAAAGTGCAGTGGAACTGTGTTGAGACAGTTTGGGACATTGGGACAACGTGAAAACTCATTCGTGGGAACACCCTCCGGGAGGGCTATCTCGCTTGAGTTTTTCGTGGTCCAACCTTTGTTCTTTTGAACAGTTGAGAGAGGCCACAACTTGTGGAGTTGTGAGACACATATTTTTTTACGACAGTCATTATCTTCTGGTTGTATTACTCGGCTTTCTTGAGTGAGCCGAATCAAACTTCACTCAAGGTCAGTCAGTTGAATGACTCAGATATCCCTTCACACATGTGTGAGCCCACACTTTCTTGACCCTGTTTGTTTTGAATGTTCAAAGGCAAAGGTAGAGTGAAGTTGTGTGAGTCATGCATGTGAATGAAAAGGTCTGACATGAGTATGAAGTTGTACTGTTTTTTTTTGTAACTTGTTTTCTTTGCATGCTGTGCAGGTAGGTAGAAGAATGTTGTAAAGGAGAAGTTTTATGGTGTCTACTTGGGAAGATGAAAAAAATTGTCTTCTTTCTCCCTTTTACCTGCCTGATTGTTAAAAAGACTTGTTGTTTAGAAAAAGATTATTGCGAGGCCACTGCCTCTATGAGCCCCATTCGACCCCTTTTTGGGAGCCTGTCGGCCGCCCTAAGTGAAGGCAGGCTCGACAAGGCCCCTCAGGGCCTTAATTCGGCCTCTACGCAACTAAGGAAATTCAGGCAGTTGCACTGCGCCAGTTGGTTGAAGAGAACCCAGGCCCTGGGCCGCCTGTGTGAGTGTATGGAAAGTAGGCCCTGGGCTGGATACGGGTACTGGGCCAGACACATGCCAAAGCAGTTGGGTGCATGCAACCACCTCAGGCCCCAAGCCTATTCTCGATCGTGTTGGGCCTCAGGCTACCGGGGCCTACTAGAAGCTTCCTGGGACTGGACGCAGGCAGGCCACTTCGATATAGCAAAGGGCCTGCCTCCTCATTCAGCATTCGGGTGCTGGCTGCATGCTGCGCAAGCGCTGCTGCGCTTTTTGCTGGCTGGCGACTACGCGCTCACGGGCGAGCAGGGAAGGAGCACGCAGCCATAGCCGAGCTGCGCTTCTGTAAGTTGGGTGTGGCGCAGGGTGGTCCTTGGGTGCAAGTGGCATTTGTGTGTTGGGGAACAAGGTTGCGAGTAAGGCGAGAGACATACCTGGTGCTGGAAGCGTGCGACATTGGTCGTTGTATGCTCGTACTTCGAGAGAGTTGTTGTCGTCAACTTCGGCATTGTAGTATAGGCTAGATAGGGTCTGCCACATGTAGTCTGGGCGCCGAGCGCCAGATAGGATATCAACTCTGGTTCTTCGTTCATGATGATGGGACTATTTCAGCATTGTCAATTATGAACTCTTGGTGTGTTCTTATTTGGTGAATCTCGTGATGCAATTCTGYTGTTGGTTCAAGGTCACGACTATCTGGACTCATATGTATGATGCTGTTTGATTGCTGAAGTTCGCTATTGCTCATCTTCCTTGCAATTTGGTATCGGAGCTGTGGTACGATTGCGCTCATCTGGCGCTTGTCTTCTGCCTTATGCGGTACATGCATGCGGTCTGCTTGGTGAGTTGGGTCGTAAGTGGTATGTAGTGAGGAGGGCGAAGACGAGGGATAGGCGACCCAGGAGGTGAGGGGATCGCTAGGAAGGCTTTGTGGGGTAATGTGGTATGGACAGTGTGATGAGAACCATCTAATGTGCGATTGATGCTGAGGTGGAACGGTGAGATAATGCTGGTTGTGCCAATGCAGTGACTGGTCATCGCAATCGCCATCAGGTCATCTGGTGAGATTATCCCCGTGAGGTTGTGTGTTCCTTCTTGAGAGTCCTCTCATTGTGAGGTGTCGAGTGCACTCAACCTTGAGAGTCGACAATGTTCACGTGGAGAATCTGGGAGACGCTGGGCGGAGCTTTCTGAAGGGCCCTGGACGAAGCACTGGGTCACGGTCACCATGCCAACCCACCGGGAGTAGAGCACGCATGCTTTGCTGCTTGTCCTTTGTTTGGCTTGCTGCGCTGTTAGATGGGTACTGAAGGGCAGGCCAACCCTCAAGGGAGACGAGACCGGGCGTCTTTAAATAAGCACCAAAAGGGGACTCATTGGCTGTGATCGTCGTCCGACTGCGACGTAAAATAATTCCTAGAGTCACTTGGGGGCGGACGTTGAATTGCCTCTGGATCAGCCAATGGTTGTAAGGCTCGCTGCACGCAAGGATAATCCAGTGCAAGGCTGGCCAGCTCAGCATATACTCGGGGCACAGGGGTGGACCGAACACACCTTTTAGACACGTGACGCTCTCCAAATTGCTCAGGGACGCTGACGTCAAGTGAGATACTCAGGAGAACTAAGGGAGGGGTAGATTTCAGGTGATGAAGTTCGAGAAAATTCCATGTTGTCCTATCCACACAAATGATTTTATTTTTATGTTTTGATTAGTTAGGTGTACAACCATTGACATCTGACAGACAGCATTAGTTAAAATTGCTTCTTGTTCATGGTGCTTCTGTTTGTGGACTAGTCAAACTAAAAATAGTTTTATTTGTAGAAATCTGACTTACGCTGCGGTAGGCATTTAGAGTGCACTAGTGTAGATTGTGTATAAGGCTGTAGCTTATGAGCGACAAGGAGGACACTGGAGAGGACGACCGGAGGATCTTGCGATCGGCTAGACGCCCAATTGCCCACTTGGCATTAGGACCATAGGGCGACAGATATCTGTTCCGCCAGCTTAGGGAGAGGCAGCAGCAGCAGAGGAGGGCTAGAGCAGCAGAGGCTCGCAGGGCACTTGTGAGTGAGGCCGCAGCTTCGGAAGCCATGGCCACTTCTGCGCAGCAGACTACTCAGGCCGGTAGTTCAGGGTCTGTCGGGTCAACGGTCGCGCAGACCCAGAGTCAGTCCACTAGCGTAATGGGAAGCCAACCTATAGTGTTGACCTCCGACGAGATCGCCATACAACAAGCAGCTTTGCAGGAGGCACAACTACAGAAGGCATTAGGAGATATAAAAGCGGAGAAAGAAAGAATGATTAGAAGAAGAGCCAGGATGCAACGGAGACAAGCGAACATTGGTGAGTTAGAGGAGATGGACCTGACACACGTGACTAATGAGGTGAGGATCGTACGGTCCGTCCTGCTGAATGTAATTGAGATGCAGGACCATCAAACAGCCATCCTTGCGGACATCCAGCAACGTCTGGTCCTGTTGGTTGGGCAAGCGCAGGCTACATCGCCAATGTCCGAGCCTGGTGCCTGGCCCCTAGCACATCCTCCTCCTTTTGTCCCACTGGTGACTGGGGTATCCCCATATGTAGCCCCATCATTGGTTGCGATCGTTTCCCTGGGCATGCCGCTATGAGGAGGGATCACAATAGGATCTAGTTTGCAGGTTCCGGTACAGACAATGTTCACTCAATCTCCGTTGCAGGTTGCGGTTACCACGCAGCCTGCTGTCTCGCAGCCTGCACAGTCGCAGGGTACACAACCCTTGCAGCCAGTGCAGCCGCCTGTATCACAGGGTCCACATCCCAGTGGGATGCAGGGACCGGGACAAACACAGTGGGTGCCAAAGACGGCCATCACCGCTCTGAAACCCTTCACAGGGGATAAGAGAGGTCAAGACCTTGACACGTGGTTGAGGGCAGTAAACTTACCTTGCCGCACGAAGAAGTGCTTGTGGCTGCCTCCTACCTAGAGGGTAGTGCAGCAAGATGGTTGAGTGGTTTAGTGCAGCTCCAAGGGTATGGTCAAGACTTCCGCGCTTGGGCGGTCACCCAGAAATTGGATGACTTCCTTAAGCTGGTGGAGGAAAGGTGGCATGATCCTCAGGAGGCCCAAAGGGCCACTGACACGATCCTGACACTGCACACGCGGCAGTTTAAGTCAGTAAGGGAAGCCACCGACGCTGTTGAGCGTCTGATTTGTGTCCTAGGGGTGCCCTATAACCCCCCAGGTACTACTCACCTCCTATCTGAGATGCTTCTCTTTGCCTCTCAGGAACCAGTTGGCACGTGAGGCCAACATCAATATGCACAACTTTCCTTCGTTTAGCAAGAAGGCCCTAGACCTTGAGGCGAAGATAGGGCATGGACAGGCACCCACAACAAACGGAAGGAGGAAGACACTGCCTCCTAACTGAAAGGCGAAGGGCCGCATTATGTTTGTCGATAACGATGGTTCAACCATCGAACTAGACAACAACTTCCAGGAAGGAGTAGGTTCAGAGGCGCGCAGCGTTGAAGCTTCAGGGGGTGGAGTTGTCGCTGTCGTAGCTCAAAAAGGTAAGACGACCGCTAGACGTCACGGAGAAGGCGGGTCTCACAAAGGACGTGTGGAGAGACTGGTACACCCGGCAAGCTTGTATTCGTTGTCGCTAGCTTCTTGGACGGCCCTAGTCAAAGCCCCGACAAGGAACTTCATTAATCGTGCGTGTGTTGAGAGGCTGCATTTACAGGGGCGAGTGCAGCGCCTGAGTCGACCTGTGGAGTCGACCTGTGCCGACAAACAGCGCATGGTAGTCAACGACTACCTCCAAGATGTTGAGTGTTGTTTCCCGTTCGCAGGAGGGGAATTGAGACATCGTGTCTCGTTCCTCGTGAGTGACGAACTCCCCATGGACATGTTGTTAGGTATGTACTACCTCTCTGTGGCACAGCCCCAGTTTGACTGGGACAGAAAAGTGGTCAAACACACTTTGCCAGGTGGAAGGACCACCAGATTACGTAAGTTTAAAGCTAGTAGTCTGGTTGAGTCTCATGGATGCATGTGTGCGGCCGCGTTCTATAACTATTATAAGCAAAATCAGGGAGGAGGGTATGTAACTAGTTTATGTCTCTGCAGGCAAGCCGGTGAAAATGCCGTCGGAGATAGAGGGAGTAGTTGCCAAGTACCCTGATCTATTTGAAGAGCCGACAGGGGTTGTAGAGAGGGAGGTCGTCCACGCGATAGAGATTATCCCAAGGTCCAGCATCCCGAAGGGTAGGATCTATCGGATGTCTCCAGGCGAGCTCGAAGAGCTTCGCCGACAGCTCAAGGAACTCGTAGAGAAGGGTTGGATCAGACCGAGTGTCTCTCCTTAACACTTAGGATGTGCAGGGGCCTCAATGCCATCACTATCAAGAACAGAGAGCCCCTACCGCGCATCGATGGTTTGCTTGATAGAGTGCAATCAGATTGCAATCCGGCCTGAGGATCAACACAAAACCGCATTTCAGACCAGGTACGGTCTGTACGAGTTTGTGGTGATGCCTTTCGGCCTTTGCAATGCTCCTAGCACCTTTCAACACGCTATGAATCGGATATTCCATGACTACTTGGATAAGTTTGTCATCGTGTACCTCGATGACATACTTATTTTTAGTAAGACTGTCGAGGAGCACGTTGCACACTTGGACAAAGTCCTTAGACTCCTGCGACAGCACAAGTTCAAGATCAACAGTGAGAAGTGCGAGTTTGGCCACACCTGTGTCTTGTACTTGGGCCATGAGATTTCCGCGGAAGGGTTGAAGCCCGATGACGCGAAGGTGGCCAGCATTCGTGACTGGCCGCATCCTCAGTCTGTGGCTGAGATGAGATCATTCTTAGGGACCGACTACTATCGCAACTTCGTGGAGAACTATAGCATAGTTGCCGCCCCTTTGACTGATCTGACCCGCCTTGACACCCCATGGGAGTGGACTGAGAGATGCGAGGCTGCTTTCAGACATCTGAAGCCTGCGTTGACGCATTACGAAGTCTTGAAACTTCCTGATCCTGACAAGGCATTTATAGTGACTACGGATGCTAGCCAATATGGCATAGGCGCCGTACTTGCACAACAGGAGGGGAAAATTTTGAGGCCAGTAGAGTACATGTCCAAAAAGATGCCCTCTCAGAAGTTGGGTAAGTCCACCTATGAGAAGGAACTCTATGCGGTTTACAAGGCTCTGACCCATTGGAGGCACTACCTCCTTGGGAGATTCTTCATCCTCAGGACTGATCATCAGACCCTGAGATGGATGAGAACTCAGCCGATACTCTTTGATGCTCTCGAGCGTTGGATCGAAGTCATTGAGCAATATGACTTCAAGCCCCAGTACATCAAGGGCGAGTACAACAAGGTTGTTGATGCCTTGCCGCGTAGACCAGATTTCTCTGGTGCGCTGATCACTGAGTTTGGGCTTGCGGACAGTGTTACTCAGTCCATGGTGGAAGCCTATCGTGAGGATCCATTCATGTCTAAGATCATCCGCAGACTCGAAGCGAAGGACAAAGTGACTTCTGTCGAGTTTGAGTTGGTCAACGACTTGCTGTTCCTCGATAAGGCTGGGAATAAACGTTTGTGTGCTCCGAATAGCGAGTCTTTGCGTAGTTTGTTTTTAGGAGAGTGCCATGATGCCACCGGCCATTTTGGGTACAAGAACATCGCAGCCAATCTGCTGCAGCGGTTCTGGTGGCCCACATTGATGAGAGATGCTAAGTTGTACGTGGATACTTGTCATGTCTATCAGAGGGACAAGCCACGTACTCAGGCTCCTCTTGGGCTGCTGAAGCCCCTTCCGATTCCGGAAAGGCCTGGTGAGAGCCTGTCCATGGACTTCATGGATACGCTGGTCACCAGCAACAGTGGAATGCGCTACATCTACGTCATTGTGGATAGGTTTAGTAAGTTTGCTAGATTAGTTGCAATGCCGGCAACAACTAAAACGAAGTATGTGATTAAGATGTTTAAAGAGAATTGGGTTAGAGATTTTGGATTACCCAAGTCCATAGTGAAAGAGATGTCAGATTCACAAGTGAGTTGTGGAAAGCAGCAGCTGCAGAGATGGCACTGCAGAGCTGGCACGCAACTGCAGATGACATCAGGCAATCATCCTGAGGCAAACAGGCAGGTTGAACAAATGCATCGCGCTGTACAACACGTGCCAAGGCACTACATCAAGCCAAATCAGGTAGATTGGGATGAGATACTTGCTCTCGTCGCAAGTTTGTACAATAACGCTGTGCACAGCGCAACCGGACTCATTCCTAACAGCCTGCTACTGACCTTCAGACCCCAACTGCCTTTAGACTTCCTACTACCTGACAATCAGCCAACCGCTGCACTTGGAACTTTAGAGTTTGCTTATCGGTATGAGCAGCTGATGCAACAGGCTGCTGAACAGATGCACAAGGCACAGGCGGCGATGATAGAGTCTGAGAGCAAACATCGCCGCACCTCTACGCTTCAGGTAGGAGAAAGAGTCTGGGTCAAGTCCTCAGAACTGAGACAGGAGCACGGAATCTCCCGCAAGCTCATGCCACAGTACTTTGGACCATGGGAGACTCTGGATGTTGTCGGGGGTGAACCAGATGGGCCGTCTTATGTTGTTCGCATCCCTGGTCACTTACACACTTACCCTGTTTTCCACGCTTTAAAGCTTGCACCTTTTAAGGAAACAGATCAGTTTCCATCTCGTCGCTCAATGCTGCCCCCAACCATGGATGGAGAGGTCAACATTAATGATATTGTTGACCACCGAGAAATGCCAGTTTCATTCGGGAGAGCTATTGTCGTCAACTTCGGCATTGTAGTATGGGCTAGATAGGATCTGCCACATGTAGTCTGGGCGCCGAGTGCCAGATAGGATATCAAGGTTCTTCGTTGATGATGACGGGACTATTTCAGCATTGTCAATTATGAACTCTTGGTGTGTTCTTATTAGGTGAATCTCGTGATGCAATGCTGCTGTTGGTTCGAGGTCACGATTATCTGGACTCGTATGTATGATGTTGTTTGATTGTTGAAGTTCGCTATTGCTCATCTTCCTTGCAATATTCAATGTGTGTCGTAGAATGAATACAATTGAAATAAAGCAGATGAGGTCAAAAGGGCTTAGCTTTTCCTAAGGATTGAACCATTTCTATCCCGAAAGACCTTATCCACCTATACCTGTCCAAATGATTCTCAATCTTTATCTCCTCTGATTTCTTTTCGTCAAAGCTACCATGAGCTCGGGAGATATAAAAATAATTGAAAGCTACTTGCAGTGGACACATCCTCTATCTCTAGGAAGCATCTGGGGCGGGGGCTCGTTGCTTTAGGAGCCGACCCTGTTATCGACCCAAAGTGGACCGTTCTACCGGGGGGGGGTACTTTACCGATCTGGTGGAGACGGCCCAACTGCTGAGATCCGAGTTTTGTGCTCGGGCAAGGAGGAGTACCCTAGACCACTTCCTAGAGCGAGAGGCACGCAACACTTCAAGCAATGCCCCTGATCAAGAATCATATGTAAAGCAGTCTCTCAGCCAAAAAGATTGGGCAGGTGTGGAGATGGGCGTGTCCGTGCCTAATCTTAGGTCGACGGTAGGGTGAAATGAATGACTTTGGCAACGCGTTTCATCAAGTCAAAACTAAGGCAACAGATTACCTTATCGGCTGCATCAAAATTATTATTGGTAGTCAACTCTTTGTTGGCGATTGTTTGATTGTTTTGTGGTGTTCGACCTGAGATGGTCGGATTGTTTTCGATTTTGTGTTGTTGAATGCATCAAATGATGATTTGGATTCTCCCAGTTATTACTTTGGATTGCATGTATATTCTTATCGACTACGGTCAACTCTTTTTTTACGTAATTATGTATAGTTGTTATAAATTTTGTTTGACTGTGCGTCTAAGGGACTAGGATTGAGTTGAGGGTTTCACGCTTGGTTGAGACCGTCCTAGTCGACCGACGTACGCTTCGTACTTTGGAGATCAGCGCCCTAAGGGACGGGCGACGTTCGGGTTCGCTTGGTGTTCACCAAGCGTATCTATACTACAGCGAACGAGCAAACGCCCTCGGCTGACCTACCTCTGCAATTGCATCTAAAAAGCTTTCGCACGTGGGTCAGTAGCTCGGTAGGGATACGCCCCTAAGGGTGGTGACAGCCCCTTAGGGAAGGGAAGCTTATGCCCCGCAGGAACCTATTCTGTCGTAGGGGACCGCGGGATGTACAGTTGGCGTATCCGGCTAGAGCGGCGAAAGAACGACGTGACCGCGGCCGTCTTGGCGGCTCGCAGAATGTTGTGCGTCGTTCCCAAGTTGTCGTTGCTTATGTTTTGTTTACTCCTGCGTGACATGGTCGGGAGGGCTCTCGCCTTTGCGAAAAAGGCGGGAGCCGATGCGCTAGACACCGCTACCAGTCGCCTTTACTGAGCTTGTAGTCAGGTTGCATGCCATCTATCCAACCACACAACAGGAGGAGGAAGATACATGAGCTCTCTCTCTGTGGCATACTGTGCACCCACACGGGCCTGCAAGGCCCGACCAGACGGAAATTCAAGGCCCTACAAGCCCTGTGTCGTTTCAGCCTAAGAGCCTGAAAACAAGGGCCTACAGGCCCTGTATCGTTTCAACCTAAAAGCCTGAAAACGAGGGCCTAAAAGCCCTGTGTCGTTTCAGCCTAAAAGCCTGAAAACGAGGGCCTACAAGCCCTGTGTCGTTTCAGCCTAAAAGCCTGAAAACGAGGGCCATTTCAGGCCCTCATAAAGTCGACCTGCCCTGAAACTTAGGCACCAGACCAGGGTTTTAGCACAGACCATTTTTGGCCTGTTTTCAAGACAACCTTTGTTTGAACTTCAACGCCAGGGTCTGGCACGTTTTGGCATTGGCAAGAGCAGCCTCCTGGACGGGCCAGCACTATACAAGACCGGCCCGCCCTACAGGCTGCAGGCAGTCGGGAAGTAGTTCATAGGGACTTCCCAAGCACTTCACGTGCAGGAGGCAGGAGGCAGGAGGCAGTCTTCAGGATTCAGCAGCAGCACTCTGGAGGAGCGCTGCAATAGTAGTAGCATTAGTAGTAGTCTTCAGTGCTGGGCGCTATGAGGAGCTAGAGTAGCGTTGGAGAGAGATATGGTTGGCGGAGGCCAGGGAGACTTACCTGTGGCGCCATAGCTCCAGCTTCGTCTTCGATGTACCTGCAACAAGGTGCCACCTTCCCAGGTTAGTACCGGGGGGGGGG